TAACTTTATTTCTAAAAGATCACCCTAGAAATTAGATGTATAAAATGGATCACATTAAAAAAATGCCTATTGTAATATCATTTGTGATTTCAAAATAATTAAAATCACTAAAATAATTTATAGCTAGATAGTGGTTAAACAAATTACAGTATGCAGTACAAGAGATAACTGTAAGATTAAAAACATGACCTTAAAAGAAAAATTATGTTCAGTATACCTGATTTAGCGAAAAAACCCAGTTACAAAAAATATATATACCATGGGTCCTACTGTCAAACTTATACACACAGGTGTGTGTGTGTGTGTGTGTGTGTGTCTATCTGCATACATATATGTTATGGAATGAATGCTTATGTCCCCCCCAATTCATATGTTGAAGCCATGAACCCCAATGCGATTGTATTTGGAGATAGGGCCTATGAGATGGTACATGTTACATGAGGTCATAGGGTGAGCCCCTAATCCAATGGGGCTGGTGCCCTTATAAGAAGAGACACCACAGCATGTATGTTCTCTCTGCCATCTGAAAGCAGCAGTCTGAAAGCTAGTCCTCACCAGGAACCAAATCGGTGGGCACCTTGATCTTGGACTTCTCAGCCTCCAGAACTGAGAGAAAATAAATTTCTGTTGTTTAAGCCACCCAGTCTGTGGTATTTTATTAAGGCACCCAATATGTATGTGGAGTACATAGTAGCAATACATCAACATCTTTACTTACAGGTTATTATCTGAGAGGGCTGAGATTAGAGGTAACTTACCATTTTACCCATAATCTTACCCATTAAAAAAACACATAAGCAAGTATATTTTAACTGAGTAAAAAAGGTCTTAAAAATGAAATAGCTCTCTTTTTTCAAGTTTATTCAGATTATGCTTTTACAGATATATAACAGACTTTTACCTGATTACAAATGCAATATCGAGGCTCATTTGGGTCATAAGTCCAATCAACCTGACTGTTTGAATCAGATTCTGGCACTACTGTTGTTTGTTGAGATATTTCTTGTACAACAGTTGATGATGAAGAACACGATGATAAAGAAGAAGAGGAGGAGGAAGATGATGACTGCTGACTTGAAGACTTATTGTTATTTCTGAAAAAAAATATCAGTTTTATTTATTTACCATTCAGAAGAAGTTACCCGAAAATAACTCCTAAATAAGTGGTATGAAATGAAATCAAATGTATAAATTAATGTCTAACACTAAGTTGAAGTAATCTGATTTAAAACACTTGTTTACAGCACCAAAGAGCAACATTTTTTATAGCAGTTTATTTTGGGAATTTTTTGTTTTCTGGAGAATAAAAGTATTCAAAAAAATGCTTGAAGCTCTGAGTCGGATGGGGCAAGGGCAATATACGTAACCTAAACATTTGTACCCCCCGTAATATGCTGAAATA